GTGTGTGTGTGTGTGTGTGTTTGCAGGGTATTCTTAATTTTTTAAATATTATTACTTGTAATGTTCTCTTAGTAGTCAGTTCATATAGATATTCTATAGTTTTTTCATAAGAATGCCTCATTGTTGAATATTTAAGTATTAGGTTTTCTAAGTTTTTGCTATTATAAACAACTCTGTAATAAATCTCTACATACACATTTTTATACTAGAAGCCCAGTGCACTAATTCATGCATGGATGGGGACTCCTGATCAGGGCCATCTCACCCAATCCCGATTGGGGCCATCAGATCCAGCTGGCTGGAGGGAGGGACCACAAGAGGTTGGCCAGCCACGGGAGATTGGCCATGGGAGCACACTGATAACCAGGGGGCAGCTCCTTCATTAAGTGTCTGCCCCCTGGTGGTCAATGTGTGTCATAGCTACCAGCTGGTTGGCCGGTCATCTGGTTGTAACGGTCGCTTAGGCTTTTATATATATAGATACCTACTAATTATTTCTAGAAGTGATATTGCTGGATCAGTGATTTTTAAGTATACAAGCATATCCTATGTCAATATAACAGTTTTATTTTCTTTCCAGTTCTTCTCTTCTGATACTTTTTCTTTTTTCTAATTACATTAACTAGTTCATATCTACTAATTGTTTAAAATTTTAAATAGTGGACATCGTTGTCTTATTCCTGACTTTATGAACAATGAACTCAGTGTTTTCCTTAAACATTATTCTCTCTTTTTGGCCTGAGGTAGATATAATTTATCTTCTAAAAATTATCCAGTTAGTCTTATTTGATGAAGAGTTTTTGTCAATAGTTTTTGCCAATTTATGTCTAATGTCTTTATGAATATATAGAAATAATAATATGATCTTTCACTTCAATTTATTAATAGAATAAATTATATTAAGAGAGTTACTAATTTTGAACTATTTTTGTAAACTCCACTTGGTCAGAACAAATAATTGTTTTAACCCACTGCTAGATTCTGTTTGCTAACACAAATATACAATACTTTTACCACAATCTCTGAAAGCCCAATATTTTGGTAAGTTTGATACCAAAACTCAGTTGGGATGGAAAACTGGCCTAAGATGATGCAAGATTCCATATTTATTCAGTCTCTGTAGTATAATCTATATATATAAAAGCCCAGTGACTGTATGGCAGAACAACCAGAACGACCGGAGTGACCGATCACTATGATGCACACTGTGGTGGCCAACCAGCCCTATCATTCCCCCCAAATCCCGTGACCTCTTTCCCCTGCCAGCCCTGCCCCCAACTTCCCCCCCTCCTCACCCCTCTCTCCCATTCTGAGGTGCCCAAGAGCTGCCCTGAGGCCTGGAGCCCAAGCGGGGAGTGGCTCAGTTCCTGGCTGTGCTCCTCCAGACCTTGAGAGCACCAAATTACAAATGCAGCTGCCACAAGGGAAGCCTGGCTAAGAAGTGGGAGGAACGCACAACAAAGAGGGTGAGAACTGAGGAAAAGCCTGCCTGGAAGAACCCGCACTAGGGGCAGCCACGCCCCCACCCCCAACTCCACCCAGCCCTGCAGGCTGCCTGATAGACACTACTGTGAGGCGGGTGTGGAGAGGGCTCCCTGGGCATGTGAGGCGGGTGCACTGTGACTCCTGCACGCCACCACTGCCCCTCACTAACCTGTGCCCAACACTGTGCAACCACCCACCTGTGCCACAGCCACTGCTTCCTCGTGCTCATGCTGTGGCCACAGGCACCAAAGCCTCCTCCTGCACTGTGCCGGCCTTGGGTCAGTCAACCTCCTGCATCCCCTCTCCCTGCTGGCCTGGCCCAGTGGCCCTCATCAGGGCAGGCCAGTGGATCCCACCCATACACGAATTCATGCACCGGGCCTCTAGTTGTTATATATTTTGTTGTAGAAATGTTAATGTTATTGACTGAAGAATGCTGCACTATACCCTCTGGCAATGTGATATATTGTACCTTATACGAACCCCATTTCCTCTGTAAAATTCACAACCCAAGGGCTTCAGATTGGGGATTTGGTATTTTAATAGTTCTTCGTTACTAATCAAAAATAAGGTTGCCCTCTACTTCCTTTTTCTTAGTGTGTAATCTTTGGTTTGTATTAATACTATACTCCAAGAAAAAAAAAGAAATGGAAAATTTTGTTCTGTCTCTCCTCTGGAAGAGTTTAAGTAACATTATATTTATCTTTTCTTTAAAGGATTGTTATAACCTTTCAAATTATAAAGTACAATAGTTTCTTGAAAATTCACTTAATTTAAAGGCCCATAAAGTAATAAGTCAAAGTTTCCTGCTTCTACATTCTCACTTCTACTCTTCTGGTCACTGTTAAATATTTGCTGTGTATTATTCTAGAACTTGCTCTAGTTACATACAAAAATAACAAAAAGTGCTTAAAAATAAAAAAAATTAGCCTTGGCCTGTGTAGCTCAGTTGGTTGGAGCATAATCCCGTACACCAAGAAGTGGCAGTTCGATTCCTGGTCAGGGCACATAGCCAGGTTGAGGGTTCCATCCCTAGTCTGGACGTGTGTAGAGGCAACTGATTGATGTTTCTCTCTCACATTGATGTTTCTCTCCCTTCCTTTCTCTCAAATCAATATTTTTAAAAATTGCACAATTAAAAAAATAAAAATTAATCTAATTTATTAGTGAGGTTTAACAGTTTCATATCTTTTAAATGTCTGTAATTTGTTTGTGAATGCTGTGTACTTTTCTGTTATTTTTATTAACTCAATTTATAAGGATTTAAAGTTCTAAAGAGATTATCTCTTGTCTTTACCTTCTCATTACAACTCCCTATAAGTAACCATTGAATCATTATTGATGTTCTATTGTGTAGCCATTTAGCTCTTTTCCTATGTACAAATTTAATATTTATTTAAAATTATATATCTGTTAACAGTAAAATGTTTAAATATATATATATATATAACTTAAAAGGTATGAATTATAGATAGGATACATTATTATATTATGTATAAAATAATATGTAATCTACTATACACTGCTTGCTTATTTTACACAGCAGTAAAAAATGTCAGTAAGGTATTTTTAAAGGCTGAAATAGGTTTCATTACTTCATTGAAGGTCTATTACATTTTCTCTCACCTTTCCACTCCTAAAATGCAGTGAAAATTTAGGGCATGAATGTGGGACAAAGTACAAGAGCTGGAATTGCCTCCTTTCCCCTAAGTCACATGAAAATTGTGGTGGAAACTACCTTAACAATTGTTCTAACATTCTCATCCCTTAATATGTTTGCCAACATCATCAATCTCAAATATTATCATTACAATATTAGAATCTCTTTAATTTCTAACTCCTTGATCCCTTGTGAATTTAAGTGAATTGCCATGTATTTAACAGACATTTGGTTTTCTTCTGTGAATTTCCTTTATATGCCCTTTGCTCCTTTCTGTCCTCCCTGTGGAACTGTTTTCCTCTTATTTCAAGGAGCTCTACGGATATGAGGGATATTAGCTAACATGTGTGTCAAACCTTATCTCCCAAGAACCTCTAAAAGGCATCTGATGCTTGTAAAGTCCCCCCCTCTCTCTTATCTGCCCCTCCCTTTATTATATTCTTTCCGGTTGACCTTTTGGCTAGTCTGTTTCCTGCTTTATTTGTTTCACTACTAAACTAGAAGAGAGTCAGGGATATGGAATTAAATATTTGAACAGGGCTTATGACAACTTTAGCTTCGTTAGAAAGGATATGAAAATGCCTCACTTCGTGTGTGTGGAGGATTTTGTGGGTGTTTCCTGTCTATTACAATTTTTCATGAAGTGACTTTTCCTTCAAAACCATGAATAATGACTGAATATATATCCCAGCGAAAACATAGAGCTGGCGGACATACTGGCTGATGAAATGTAAAAAATGCAGTTTGTGGTTGTGATGCCCCGATGATCATATATTTTAGGAGTCAAATGTATGATCAGTTACCAAATATTTGAAATATATATATAATACTCCAAGGTAGACTGTTTTCTTCAAGCAGATGCTGTGCTAATCTATTTTTTTTCATAATATAAAAACAAACAAAAAAGCATGAAGAGTATTCACTAATTCACATGGAAAGGACTGGGACTGAAAGATAGGTCAAAGTAATATTATCTTGGGGACAGAAGAACAGTCTGGAAATGTTATACATTTCAGGAGCCTTTTGGATTACTAGCTCTTGCAGGTGTATAGAGCAGGGAGAAACAAATGTTTAATGATACTTTTAAAAACAATACATTTCTACGTTCCTATGTTAATTCCCCCAATCTTCCCCAAATAAATAATTACTGTCCTCTTGCTCCTCCTGGCTTGTGTTTCCTTAATGTTTCTATTTTATTCTGACCAAATTGAGAGTCTTTATTTGTTGCTAAACTAACTTTAATCTAAAAGACTATATTTTATGGCATGGCTATATTCATTGATAACCATTGAAAAGCTTGCTTGAGGTAATAAATTGAAATTTTTCTTTTTTTCCCAAACATCCTATGAGAAAAATGTTACAAGTATATGTAATTAAATCAATTCATAAAAATTACATTATGGAGATTACAGATGGGCTATCATTGTTTATTTAGGGGACATATTACTTTGTACTTCATAATATTTTTTTAAAATACTTGCATCCAAAGATAATTGTTACATTTTCACTGGCAACTACTGTTTTCTGAAAAAACCATACATGTCCATGTACTTCTTTGCTTTGTTTGTCCTTAAATAATCTGAGAAAAAAGATTTTTATATTAGCTGAATATTGAGTTTTAGTATTAGGTGTGGTAGATTCTATTGCTTTAAACTTCCATTTTATATCTTTAATGCCTCTTGCTCTTGGCAAATTATAATTCAGGAAAGCAGAAAAATCTAGTATGCAAAATCTAGTATTTGGCAGCCAAGATAATCAGCATTTATGCACACTGAAAATTTTCAATATTTATGAAGAATTTTAAAATGTATAAAATGTGATAGGACTATTTACAAATTAAGATCTAGTGCCTCTACATTTTTCCACAGGGTTGATTTTTATCTTGTTTTTTTACATATAAGGAAAGAGTAGTATACTTTAAAAATAGCTTACATTATAATGAACAAAATAGTCTTGTCATATAGAATGAGACAGTATTATCATGTATTGGAAATTTAGGCAACAATTCTAGATCTATTTTGTCATAGTAAACATCTATTTCCCTTCACCTTTTCTTTACATGGGTGACCTGTTTCTGTTTTCTGGGCTAGGCCTCCAATGAGGGCAAGCAAGACGAGGCTTAGTCTGTTGTCTCAATAAAATACTGGTAACACTGGTGGTCATAGGCATTCTCTAGTGGTCCTTAGTATGCTCCTCTTAGCAATGATTATACTGTACTTTTGGGCACAAGTGACTAATTACTGGAATTTAATAATTATAAAAAGATGTCATAATGTTATAGTACAAGAGTTAATATTTCTGCTAACTCTAATTTAGGCTCATTTCCTTTATTTAAAAAGGAAAAAAAATTTACTTGGAAATGGTAAGAGAAAACAGAAGTGGTTGTTTTGTAGTGTTTCATGAACTAAAATTTGGAAAACTTTACTAATATTTCTTGTTCTGTCAACATATGCTCTTCAGGAATATTAATGGATTACAAATTGAACTAATAGAACAATTCAAGTTCATTCATTGTTTTTGTACAAAGAGGGTTTCATTTCAAGACAAATTCACACTCTGGCAGGTAATAGATTGAAATAGGATAATCTTGGCAACAGATTACATATGACTAGTTTGTAGTGGCTGATTTAACATTTGACATGGAAATTAACCCTGGATATATTATAGGCTTTGGTGTGTGGTAGCAGGGAGATGTGGCAGATGCATGTGTAAAAACTCTATTTTAAATGCATGGTCTTGTATGGTTTAATTCTGTGAGTATTCTGAGTATGTCCAGACAAGAGATTTTAACTGTAAGCATAATTTCATTTACCCTAAATGTAAAAACAAAGCCAACCAGGGCCACTTAGGGAAGAGAGGATCCTCAAGGACCTATTTAGATAGTTGCTTCTAGAGAGAGAAAAAAAATGTTCAGTCAAAGACTTGTCAATCCTAATTTTAAAGATTGATTAGGTAGCTGATTTTTTTCTTCCTTCTGTCCTTGGAGAAAATGAAAAATAACAGGTCCCCTTCCACTTTACACTAACCATTCATATACTTTATGACAGCTAGCTTTCCCTTGAGTCTTCTCTTCTCCAGGAAAAATTATGCTAACTCCTTCAGTCTGTCCTCATAGGTCCTATTTTTCAACCATTAAATCATTGTATGGTTCTCCCTGTACTTTTCCCAGTTTCTTCAAAATCCCTTTAAAAGTATAAAGTCTTAAGTTTTACATCTTTGTCTATATTAGATAGATTAGAATGCCAGAGGAATATTTCTTTCCACATTCTACGTCGAAGAGATGGTTACTATGACACAGGTCAGTTGAATGATAGGGAAAAGGAGAAAAAGAGAAGCCAGGTGAGCAGTTTAATATTCAACTCATTGGCTTTATATGATCAGAAAGAGTAAAAACTGGGCCTGATAAAATGTCATAGGATTCTTCGTAAGCCCTTTGCAAAGATACTAAAACATAACATTACTATAAAATCTATCAGGCTGCTTTTGAGTTTTCTTTAACTAAATAACCTGATACTCCTCTTTAATAATTATAATTCTGCAAAGCAAAACATTAGTATGTGAACTAACATCATGCCAAGTTCAGGTCCCCAAAAATGTGTAATGGAGGATGATGAGCCCTGCTAACTCAAGAGAGGGCATGGGGATTCAACGTTAGAGTGACCTCACCTTAATTAAGAGCTAGAACCACTTTTTCAAGCAGATATTAATGCCAAGAGGGGACATTCGTGGAGTGTTACCCAGCAAAGGCTTATTATTGGGTAGTACATGACCAGTAAGAAGAGCATGATATTGGCTTAGCTGACATGCTGTTCCGGGTTTATGGCCTGGCATTTTCTTCTCTGCAGCATCACCTTGATTTTGGGTAATGCTGTAGTAATTTCTACCTTTCCATTGCATGGGGGCCAAAAGATCTGATAAACCAAATTCCCCTCTATAACAATTACTATGAGAGCAAGATTCTATGGTAATAAAATCTTATAATAAAAGCCCTAGAGTTTCTAGTGTTTTCTTACTTCAACTTAGGTGCATTAATAATTGAATTCTGTATTTATTTGATAATGTTAAACCTAAAGTCCTATCTATACCAAAAGCAAAATACCTGGCATTTATCCTCTCTACTCTTGCTTATGCACTATGAAATAGGTAAACCGCTTCATAGCCTCCACGAGAGAGAAATTCAGTCACTACAGAAAGACGGTACTTATCTTTTCCAATATCCTCCTTATCAATCAACAATAAATAATAGGCATCACAACAAAGTTGGCTTATAAAAGCTTTAGTTCCCCCAATTGAATGCTTCATGATTCACCCGTTGCTGGTTTATTTCCACTTTAGGGTGGGATAAAAATATAAATTGGCCAGGCCCACGTTGGAAAACCACAGGCCGATCTGAGAGGGCTCTTGCATTGAATGGTGTGCAGAAGTGAAATATTTGTATTTGGCGCTAACCCCTCTTTGAAAGCTAATGCAGTATGGTCTTACCATTTTTGCAGACAGGACAACATTGCTCTGGTTCATAGACTGGGTTGACACACTCAGGAACTGCGCAGTCTGCTACAACACAGTGAACTTCATTGCTGGGCTCACAGCGACACCATTCACATGGAGAGGGCTAGGAACAAATCTAAAATTAGCCCCTTTTCTCCTATAACTTAATGCTTGCACATTCATATGCTGTCAGAAGACAAAACATTAGTGTTTATATTGGCTTTACTGTATTAACTCCATTACCATGTGTATGATCATTCTTCCCCAATGGAAGGCAACCTAGACGTCCAAGCCACAGTAGGTTGTCATGTGCATCTTAGGTTGCCAGGAGCAACTTGGCATTCATGTATGACTTTCCTGCCTATGCTCCTACTTCCCAAAGACCATTTTGGACAACTATTATGTCACCTCCTGGTTTTGTTTCCAGATGTGCTGATTGCTCTGCCTTCCTCTCATAAAGAGGAATTAGACTAGACTAGAACATGTGAAGTAAGTTTTTGCCATTCATCATTTTTCTTCCTAAAAAAAATTACCGAGAAACAAGAACACGGTAAATGGACATTCTTACCTTTTTTATGAACTCTTTTGTTTCCAGCTAACCTAGACACTAAATGACTTTTTTTTCCATGTGAATTTTAGAGGAGATTGCATTTGGGATGCAAACATCCAGGCACTGCCTCGTGGAAGATTTAGTGAATACCTCGCATCTTGCCTGCTTACTTTTATGAATGAACTAAAATCCATCGGCTTAAAAAAGCCACTCTTGACTTATAAAGCCACTTTTTAAGAGTCAACGACTCTAAAAATAGAGCTGAAAAATGATTCATGTAGGGGGAAAATAAATTGATTGTAAATTGTAATTGAAAAAGAAAAATAAATCAGAAAGCTATTTTTGTCTTCAAAGTACTTACCGATCGAGAGTGAGTTTGGGGTTTTGTTTCCTTTTAGAAACTGCTTATACCACAGATAATCTTAAGCAGTGGCCCCTCTATAACTTTCACATTCTTTACAGGTTCTAGTTCTCCTTTCTCATGAAACAGAGGTTCCGAATTCTGGGATGACAACTTGGAGGTCTTAGAAGTTATGCAGGTCTATGTATCTCAAATCAAGCCATTTGTTTCCAGATAATTCTGCCTCCATCTCTAGGCCCCAGTCTCTCCCTTCCAGACTGTGTTAGTTAAAGCCCTCTGCCTTTGTCTCAGTGGCTAGTGCCCATACCATTGTCTGCTCTTATTTCTTCTGGAACTTGAATATTTGGGTAATATCAGTGCTCCTGGACTCAGGTAGCCTGGGGGGATGGGGTGGTGGTGGAAATCTTTCAACTAATTATTTTAAAAGTAAACTTATAGCCAGAACCAGTTTGGCTCAGTGGATAGAGCATCGGCCTGCGGACTGAAGGGTCCCGGGTTCGATTCCGGTCAAGGGCATGTACCTTGGTTGCAGGCGCATCCCCAGTGGGGAGTGTGCGGGAGGCAGCTGATCGATGTTTCTCTCTCATTGATGTTTCTGGCTCTCTATCCCTCTCCCTTCCTCTCTGTGAAAAATCAATAAAAAATATATATTTAAAAAAAAGTAAACTTATATTTGCTTTCTGCTTGAAGAATTATTTTAATTTCAAACAGTAGGAATAAGAAAAGTATACACAGAATCTGTGGGAAAACATTGCTATTTCTTAACATGGTGATAAGTTTGTTAAAGGGCAGAGTTAAGGGCTTTACCAGGTGGTGAGTTGTGTTAAGCATTTCAGGAGAATTCACCGGATTGTCCCTAAAGCTGGGATATTCCTGAAGCTTCTCCACTGAATAATCTCAGTACATGAAGGAAAAGCTTTGAAACCACAGCACACTATCTGATGGAGGAAATGTTTAATGAGGAAACAGTGAGAGAGATGGACATTCTTGCTGCTATACTGTTCCGTTATGATATCTTACCTTCCCACACAAAATTGTCAGGTGGCCCCCTTTCCTTGATTAACTGCAAAGTAGTGGCTGTGCACAGCCTTCTTAAAGCACAGAAGGACTTGGCCCGCATTTCCTTGCTAATATGAGAGAAAAAGGAGCCACTGGTATCATCGCTTCCATACCCTGTCCTTCCTCAGCTGTGATCCTTTCTTCCTGCTGAAGGAGGGGCTGATCTGTGTGACTCCAATGGACTGATTCTGGCATTAAAAACCTCAAAGACCCCCTACAGGTTCCCATGCAAAACGTTTCCCTCAAAGTAACTGTGATCTTTGAGAAAGATCTGTTGGACGACTAGATTCCCAGTGAAGACTGATGAAGATTACCATCCTAATTCAAACAAGAGCAAGAATGCTATTCTGTGCACTCCCCTCTGAGGAGTTTATTTTTCATTGATTTGTACATTCTTCATGCATCCAGATCCTCAGGAATAACCATTAGCAACTAAATAATTGATTTATACAGTGTAGATATTTCCTGCTAAGAAGATTTCACTAACTAGGGTGGTAAGTGCAGAAAGAGATTATTATGGAGCCGCAGATGTGAGTTAGTAGAAAGCTGTAGTAGGCTGAGGTTAGGTTGCCACGTGGCTCACGTTCCTGGAGCTCGGCATCTTCAAGCCTTGAGACTGGTAGCTACCCTGGTATCTGGGTAAAGCACTGACAGATACTGGTCCTGCAAAGGCCCTGGGGCATCTGCCTAACATTGGTGGAGGTTGGATGTGGGTGGACTAGAATCCTGAGAAATATTCTGTATAAGAGCTAAGGCCGCAAGGCTTCCTGGCTAATGTATGCCTGCTTTTCTTCCTCCCTTCCTTCCTTCCTTCCTTTCCTTCCTTCCTTCCTTCCTTCCTTCCTTCCTTCCTTCCTTCCCTTCTTTATTTTTATGCCTGTTTTTGAAGGGATTTTGAGTAATCAGAAACATCAATTAGAAAAATAAAAATGTCACCCTAGCCATTGGCAGATACTACATTTTCCTGAAACTGGCTTTATTCATATACCACATTCATTTGTCCCTTCTTGGCCCAGAATCTCTTGTCTGAAACAAGTTATTTCTGCTTTTCTTTTTATTCAGTCTTTTGTTTTCAAATAACGTCTGTTTCAGTCTTATTTCTTCTCATTTTAAGCCTCTTGGGCCCCTCTCCTTCCCCTCTTAACAGTCCATCAAGTTTAACCCATTGGCCTCCCTCCGCAGCCCCTCTGCCTCTTGCCATCCTCTTTCACATGCTCTCCAGTTCAGAACCCTCTTTCCTTGCCCAATGTGACTTCCTTCACTGCCCTGAAAACACATTGCTTAAACATTGAGAAGTTTCCTAGGAGTGAGCAATGAGTTACTTGGATAATAATTTCAGACTTTAAAAATCCTTCCTACCAAACAGCATACAACTGTGAAAGGTTTGGTGCTTTGAATAAATCTTTATATCTTAAGCACTGAGCTGGGCACAGATTTCCCTTTATCAGACTCTTCAATATGAAAACTATAGATTAAATCTGAAAACATCCCGGTAAAACCAAAGATTAAACAATAAAGTTATCCTTAGCGGAACAGAGGACACTGAAATAAGTACTTGGGGAAAATTACTCTTACTAACTTTTTGCAGAGAAACATGTGAATTATGTCTGCTACATGGCTTTAACAGCCAGAGATTTGGGAAGATGATTAAATGACACCATCCTAAAACTTTATACCAGGAAAATCAATTCCTAGAAATGTCAAGGAATATTTTACTTCTACGAAAGGTTTGGAACATAAAGTAACATTCACTATATATATACCTTATGCACCTTTACAGAAATCTTAATTGAAATTAGGTTTCAAGGTCAAATTAATTTGTTACTGAGTATATTCAATGATCTGAGTATATGACTATTATGAATCCCTATACCTCCAGCTTAGTGTTTTGAATATCAAATATGGGACCCTTTTTAAGCAGAAACATGGCATTTTATCTATAGTTCCTGCAATCACTGAATACATTTGCATGGCAAATCCAAACGTTGCCCCAGCTGCCCCTAAATTTCAAATGGCTTTTCTGATATATATTTATAATTAATAGAGTAAAAGGAGACTCTTAAATATTGGCTTAGGTGACTAGAATTCCAATATTCCTTCTTGGTATTAGAATGGAAACATGGCGATATACATTGTTTTCAAAGTGGTTAACTTCTCAAGATCTTGATGCTGAAATCCATTGTCCCTGTCTGTGATTTTTGAGGATTCTTGGAGAATTGGAGGAGATGTACCAGAATTTTGGAAACAGTAGATTGCTCCATGTTGCTTTAAAGTGGAAAACATATAATGAGAACCAGTAACTTAATGACTGGAATAATTGAGTAACTCCTGAAAAATTGTCAAATATATTCTTTGTGAGAATTTGGAAGCTAACACCAGACTATTAGAACATGCTATTATAGACTTGTTACACAGAGTTCTCCTAATGTTTATAAAAAATGTACATTTATTTTGTATCCATACTTGTGGAAAGCCTGGATGTTTGGTCCATACATCAGTACCTCATGGCATCATTATTTATGTGGTGACTGCTATTGGCATTGTTCATAGAGGGCCAGGAGGATATGGTAACAGCCTATAAGATTTGTTATATGAATTCAAACCTCAGAGTGACAAGGATCATAGTAGTATTCAGTTTTCTATTTTAATTTGGTGAAGTTTAAGATAACAATGTTCATACAAGTTGAAGAACTCTAAATTAGAAAAAAAATAGAAAATAATATTTCACTTAGTTGGCTTTGTTTGGGTGGTATGGTAGCATGGTTAAAAGCAAGTTCCTTATAATCATGCTACTTGAATTCCAGTCTTAAATGCTTTACTTACTAGTTGGGAATCTTTGGAAAATTATATAACCTTGATGTGCCTTAGTTTCTTAATCTACAAAATGGGAATAACAGCATTACCAACTTCACAGCTACTGTGAAGCACATAAAAATATATAAAATATTATAACTATCATCATCATCATCATTGCATACTTAGTGAGAACTTTTTGAAAAAAATTCAAAAAGTATACAATTGGAAGCATAAGACTGTTTAAAAGAATATTTAGCTTATTTCTCTTATTAAAGTGTAATCTGGTTGCAGAGGTGGTTGTGAAAAAGTGTTTTTTAAAAATATAATTTTATTGATTTCAGAGAGGAAGGGAGAGGGA